TCATAGTGGGTAGTTGAAGACAGTTGATGTAAAATGTCCCACATCTAAGCTTATATGAGTTGATTAGGGAACAAGCGTACTTTCCTATACATTTCAACTCATAGTATTTAATGAGACAGTCAGGGTGGTAGACGATGACTTATTCAGACTGTGGAAAGCTTCTGCACACCTCAGTGTCTTACACAAATCAATTACTGAGAAATTAGTGATCGAATGCCATCGATCGAGTTCCTGTGTAGCTAGCTACTAGTCTGATTGATTTGATATCCCAACCTATTTTGGTTTGATGATTGTTCTCAAGTATGCTTCCTAATGCATCATTCTTGATTCTGCTCTCAATAGACGTTCAATCACTTTATTTGTTCTGATATTAATCCACTTAACCCATTTATCTCACCATAATGACTAGTGTATTATGTGAACCAATACAATTCTGTACCACATTTGAGGTTATTTAACACCGATTGAATGTGATCTACCATCAATATTTAACTAAGAAAGCCAACATATTCGACGTAGAATACCGATAATTTGAAATAAATATCATATCCCATCAGAGAATGTTTATATAAAATAGATGGAATGTGACTAGAAGTGGATTAGAGGACACGTCATTTCGTCCTATTTGGAACTTGTAAGCTAGATTTATCTGCATCTCATAAATGATATTCACATCGGAATTCGAATCAGTTCCTTTTGCCTCGATAACACAAGTGAATTGCTATCTGGACTCCACAGATCAGTGGATAACATATTAGCATTTGAAGCAACAGAGACTATATTCGAATCTTAATAATGAGTTATATTCAACTGACTAGTTCTATACAACATAACACGTTCATTCTATATTCCATTAGTAGCTACATTTCATCTACTCTACATTGACTTCTGTTACAATGGTTACATTGAGACAATCTCCATGAGACGAACAGATGCCAAGCAAGACTGATCAAATTTTAGTCGGAATATCAAGAATTGATAATCTAAGCTATTATAAATTAAATCATGATCATCAGCATAGGGTTGTGGAGAATGTTTAGTTTTGATTGAGATCATGAACCAATCAGTGTTAGACGACGATTAAAATTCTGGAAGAACTGGATGGCGTTTTCTTTCTGGTATAGGACTTGTCAGCAGTGCTCATTCACGGTCTCGCACGTGAACACCTAAGCTCCAGACCACTGAGACGGCATACAACGGCGAGACTGAAGGTTCTGAGCTCGAGTTCTACGTGCGATATCGTAAATCTACATTGTTGAAGAGTCGTATACTTGAACGTAACAGTCGTTCAGTGATTTTAGTTCTTCAATTGTGGCCTAAAATTGATCGATTCGTTATTTCAATCAAAACTCTGAAATTCATAATTACTGAATCCATATTTAACTGAATGAATTTGAATGTAAATTTATTTTACCTCTACAGTCTCCATAAACGAAGCTTTTAAGAAAAAATAAGCTTCTCACCATCATTAGCAAGAACAAAACGAGAGGAGAGAATTAATCTTGTTCATTTTATTGGTATTGACTAGACACTATTATTAATTAACTACTGTAGGAGAGAGAACAAACCAGATTCCACTGAAGGAAGAAATCAAGAAAAAGCGCTGGAATTGGATAAGACACATATTGAGGAAAGTACTCAACTATATCACAAGGCAAGCCCTCACTTGGATCCTCAAGGTCAAAGAAGAAGAGGAAAACCAAAGAACACATCAGTTCAAGAAATAGAGACAGATATGAGAAGAATGAACAACAATTGGATTGAACTAGAAAAGAAGACTCAAGATAGAATGATTTGAAGAATATGAATCAGTGGCCTATACTCCATTGAGGATAATAGATGTAAGTGTATAAGTAAATAAATTGAAGTTGAAATGATGTAATAAATTGTTAGTACATCAATGTATTGATAATCGATCAATAATGATATTCTTAATAGTAATAGGCTTATTACGGAAATGGATACTTGAATAGGAAGAACACAATAAAGAAAACAAAGTCACAGACTTGAATTATACACAATATTTGTGATATTCGTTATTTATATCATACCCAGTACAGCTGAATTATGTTTTTGTTTCTTCATTTATCTAGTTAATAAGTGTTGGAAAACACAGTGTTTCATTTTATTTTAATCAGCAGGGGGGGGAGTTTGTGTATCGTCCTAATATAATACTCTTCAACAGTGTATATCCACGAACCACCCCACCCTCGTGAGATTAAAACCCAAGATCTATCTATGGATCATTTTATGATATAAAACTTATTATATTTGTGTTTCTATCCTGAATTTTTGGATGTACTACAAGGAACTTATTCTAAGTAGGTAGTTATGAACACATTCTACTGATTGAAATGTAATTTATTTTTGACTAAAAATCACTCTTTAATTTACATCAATCTAAAGTGTTGGATACGATATACCTAGAGACTATTGAAATTGTCAGTAATAGAGATAACCAGATCTGATAATAGATGAAGATTTATTTGGCCCTTGAAAAACATATCCACCCTTAAATCAAATCAAACCCATTTATATATTGATTTTACTGATATTTATCGATTAGGTTACCGAGTGTTACATATAATCCAATATAAGGGAATTATAATAAATCAATATTATAGAGTATTACTGTACTCTATATTATACTTGTTATAACTTGTGGTTTTGTTCCCTTGGTTCTTTTTTTTTTCATCCCGTCGCCAATTGTCATAACTAGTGCCCTGTATCCTTATTAATGTGTAATTAGACAACAGTGAATTATCAACCGAGGATAAAACACCTCCCTTTTTTTTGAAGATCCCAGCGACGGGGATGAAATGTGTATCCCGATATGAATAATAATTGGTAACTTTTGGGATTCACTTATAAACAAATACTATGTGTATATTTTTATTGTTTAATTGTTAAGTAACTAAACTATTCATATTCATATTCCTCTTATTATAAGCTTTATTTTGACCTATAAACTATTATGATACGAATTACCATTATTGAGTTATGTTGAGTCTATCAATTACTATCTCTCACATTCACAGCCACATTTGGCTAAACCTTGTACAAATGTGTATTTCCTATTTTATGGTACGATGTGGTCTGCTTGTTTTGCATATAAACCCAGCATGTTTGAAATAAATGATTCATATCACAGAGGCTGAGATTGGTGTTCTGAACTTAACAGGCAGGACTAGGCCAGAAGCATGACCGATAAGTACTCTAGACTGCTCGTACAGGTTTTATACGTTATTGATCCGGTCGATAATTCACTGTTCTCTAATTGACGGTATCCTTATTTTATATTTTAATAGGGGTACACAGGTCACAAGTTATAACAATTGGAGACGGGGTAAAAAACAAAGCACCAAGGGCACAAAACCACAAGTTATAACGCTACTGAAAGATTGTCGATAACGAAGTAAATAAAAAGATCATTTGATAGATACAAGTCATAATGATTTAAAGAGTAAACTAGTTTTTCCTCCATGTTGAATGAAATGGTTTTTTACACAATCATCTTTATTTATGAAATTTGTCTTCTAGATCATAGTGTCATTCATCTATCGTCTATTAAGAAACTCAACTAGGTCGACAGTTGGGACATACTAATTTAGAGTTTCAACTGGCAGTCTGCTTGAACAACTGAGATATCTACTCCTGTCATCTAGACACTTCAACAAGTGATCTGTTATTATGTTTGTTTTAACAAATCATTATGTCTATTCATCACATAACCTATTCAGATGTGTTTGTGAAAGGTTTACGACCTTCCGGTGTACAAGTTACAAAAGAGCCCAATGAAAGACATCGTGATGGCTGTCAGTATGTATTGAAAAGAATGAACATTATTCAGATATCGATTCCTGAACTGTTAACATCTAACTGTCAATCAGTTATTGGCAAGATGGATTATCTTTGATTCCTATTAAGTTTAAACATGTATCGTAATTATGTTATCATCACAATTCAACAATCCTGGTTGAATGATTTACAAGACAATTGCTTAGTATCACTACAAGATTTCAGTATGTGTCGTCAGAATCGATCAAGAAATAAGAAACGGTAACTTGGTGACCTGAGAATTCTACATTGTACTCGAAATATAATATTGAATAAAGGCATTAATAATAATATTATTATTATTACAACATAATTCCGTCTTCTTAGTATGGGTTTGTAGAGTTTATTAAGTTTTTGATCGAGATCATGAACCGATTAATGTTAGACCACCATTGGAAACCTAGAAACACTGGCCGCTTAATGTCATGGATTGGTTGAGATTAGACATTAACACTATTGAATGCCGTCTCAGTGGTCTAGAGATTAGGCGTTCACACGCGAAACCCAATCCCTCAAGTGGGATCATGGATGTGCACTGTTGAGGAGTTCTATGATAGGACGGAAAGACTGTCCATTTCTTCCAAATTTTCAACTGTGATCTAACACCGATCAGCTCATGATCTTAATCAGTAACATAATTCATATCAAATAAATAAAGCACATTCATTAAAAACTCCTAAAATTCTCTATATTTCATTATTTAAAACTTAATTATAGATACAAAACATCAATGAAATGATTACTTAACTCTAAACGGTTTACAGCAGTTTTTAAATCTTTAATAATTGAATTCATGAATCACCATAGAAAACCTAAAAGCACTGGACGACCGTTTCATCCTATTATAGAACTCCTCGTCAGTGCACATTCACAATCCCACTCACAGGATTCAAATTCACGACCTATCGATCTTAACCTCTAGACTACTGAGCTACGTAGTATCCAACTCCTCGTCAGTGCACATTCACAATCCCACTCACAGGATTCAAATTCACGACCTATCGAGCTTAACCTCTAGACTACTGAGCTACGTAGTACCCAACATTGTTAATGTCTAATTTCATTCATTTATTAATGAATGAATATTACATTAAAGAAAAAAATTGGGGGTGGGGGGAGGGTCGGAGATTATTTTCTTTCTTATAAACATTCAATTCACTTACTTATATCATAATGATTTGAAGAATTCATTGAGGGGGGGTAAGAGGGTGGTGTTGGTGGAAGTAATTTTTTTTTGTAATTCCATAAACTAAATGAAAGTTTATTTATCCAATGTGTATCCATGTGAAATTGGAATTGAATGAATTCCATATCGAATGTTTTTAATGAATGAATGGTCAGTATAATTAAATCCTAAATCATGATCACATTTATGATGTATATGAAAAAGGAACAATGATCTCCATAGATATATGAATGATTATCAGGATACTGTTATCATACAAACGATTGTAAAAGTTATTTATTTTTAAAATTGAAAATGATGCAAATGATGATGGTGACTAAAACGAAAAAAAAAAGAATAGGGTGCGGGGAGGGGGAGAATATTTATTTGTATCTATGTCCGTTGTCTTATGCCTTGATAATATATGTCTGTTACATTTGAACTTCTAGGAAAAAAAATTTTTCTAAGGATTGTTTCATAGATAACAAATTCTTCAAAGTAAGTACTTGCCCATATAACCACATACATACATACATAGATACACACATACATCCATTCATACTACTTACAAACCATGATCAACAGAATATACATTGATATACCTGAGTTTATAGAATGTTACAAGGGATGAAATCGTTAAGCTTTATCCATATTTATATATGTATGTGTTTATTTATACACACCACGAATATTTGTAGTTGGGTTTTCATTTAGATGTGACAACAGGGAAGAAATAGAAATAAACGATAGAAAGCAATATAATATATTTATGACAGTCTATTAATCTAAATATGAATAATACAGAATGGGACCCATATATATATGGAGAGAGAGAGAGAGAGAGGTTGTTTCCGGGGCGATAGACCGACATACCTAAAACTAAATTCAATCTGAATGGTTAACTATTCATCTGTAAAATAGTGTGAGAGAAGCAAAAAAAACAACAACAGATTTATTTATAAACTGGCACTCACTAATGGATTTGCTTTTATTGTGTATTATGTTGAATACAGTATGATATTATTTGAAGTGCTTATCATTATTATAATGTTAGATGTTAGATATCCAACTGACGAGTTCCAAATAGGACGAAACACGCGTTCTGGATTCTACTGCTAGCCACTATCCATCTTTGTTTATTAACATCTATAATTATGTATAGTTTTATTTCATTATTCATACTACTATGGTGTGTACTACTGATGTCGATAGATATAAGTAGTATGTATCATCAATAGAAAATGAAATGTCTGGTAGTAGAAGGTTAAGAAGAACGAAGAAGAAGAGAATGTGAACAGAGAAGGATTGGTGTTTACATGAAGTAACAGTGAAGTCTGAGACGATTGATGGATATTTTGCAAATGAAGTATTTACTGTATGATTCTCAGATTTTACTAAGAGATTCTGTAATACATTTGGTGGTCCCCGCTGGTTTTCTTCTTCACCACACTACTACTACTACTACTACTACTTCTATTGTAGTAAACACAACACGGGTGGGGACAATCGAATGTATTTAACACAAACTTACAGGACTTGTTAATAAAATCTAATAATCATAAAGTAAATGCTTGATTTGTAAAATATCCATCAATTGTCTCAAAATCACTCAGACTTCATTGTTCTTGCATTTTCATACAAATTGCATTCCGTTTCCATTCTTTACTGTTCGATCCTTTTGTCTCTCTGCTTCCTGACCTTCTGTTCATGACTAACATCATATATTACTTATGTCAATATAAGTAGCACACACCACACTATTACCACGATGAAACCACAATTAAAATATAGTTTTTAATAGTTGGATTCATGAGTCGACCTATGCTAGACCACCAGTGGAAAACTGAAAGCCTTGGACGGACATTTCATTTAAGTATGGGACTGCTCAGAAGTCTACTTCCAAGATATCTCACCTAAGGGTCTCGAACCCAGGAGGTTCAGTCTCATACGTGAACGCTTAACATCCAGACATCGATGTCTAATTAATGTCTAATTTCAATTGATCCATGATCTTGTACAACCCTTCATTTATTATCTCCACTCGACACAGATTGGATTCCACTGATCACAGTTTCTTCATACTAGAATTAGTACTATTACTAGTATTTCCAAGTTTTCAATAGTGCTCTAGCTTACATCGATTGCTACAATCTCCACAAACCCCCCTCCCTATCTCGTTCCATTCTTATAAAATGTACTTAATTTTTTTTATGCTTGAAGATAAGTTACCTAACTGTGTATCTAATGTGAAAAGCGGTAGTAAAAAGAAACGTCGCCAGAAAAGTTTCAACCAATAGTACATATATATGTATATCTATAACAGTTGTTATACCGTTATACACTTCTTTAAGACTCATTAATTATTTATGTAACATAAATACGCATAGTAATCTGCATTGGATACATGTTTGTATCTAACACAGTTTACAAAATATATTTTCATTCAATGATAGAAGAAAAAAAGAAAGAAAGAAAGAAAAAGGTAAACAACAACAACAACAACAATCAAATGAGGAAATTTCATAATGATCTGTCAAAATGGATAGAATTGTTTGTTTGTTTGCTTATTTGTTCTCGTTTTTTTTCGCTTCCATTTATTGTGTGCTATTTTCAGTTGTATATTGAACTATGAAGATCAAATGTATGTGGTAGATTTGTGAACAGGAGACACACAGAGAGAGAGGGAGAGAAAGAGACAGAGAGATACTGAAAAGGAAGGCAACACTTCAATAGAATAAACGTCTTTCTTCCTTCCTTCCTTCCTTCCTTCCTTCCTTCCTTACTTACTTACTTACTTACTTCCACACTTACTTACTTACTTACTTCCACACTTACTTACTTACTTACTTACTTCCACACTTACTTACTTACTTACTTACTTGCTTACTTACTTACTTACACTTGGTACTTCTAATGGAGCATAGGCCACTGACCAAAATTCTCCAACCCACTCTGTCCTGGGTACACCTTTCTAGTTCCATCCAATTATTGTTCATTCTTGTCATGTCTGTCTCTATTTCTCGGTCTAATGTGTTCTTTGGATTTCCTCTTTTTCTTTGACATTTAAGATTCCAAGTTCGGGCTTGTCTTGTGATTCAGTTGGTTGTTTTATTCAATGCGTGTCCTATCAAACTTTTTCCTACATGAAAAGGATTCAATAGAACTACTTCTTATCAATACATACGAATCCTGAAAGATTATAGATGAGCGCTACTGAGGAATCCTACAACAGGACGAAACCGCTGTCCAGTGTTTCCACATTTTTTATGGTGGTCTAGAGTCAATTGACTAATAATCTGAACTATTGAAAAAATATGTTTACAATCGAATAGCTCATATGAATTTATTGGTGAGGCAATAATTTGTGGACGAGACAATTAAAAGTGTTTAACGGATTTTAAGGTCACGGCACCAATTTCCGTATAGGGGTTGTGGAGATTATCCCGCTCGCGGGATCGTGGATGCGCACTGCTGAGGAGTCCCACAATAGGACGAAACGGACGTCCAGTGCTTCCAGGTTTTCAATTGTGATGGTCTAACATCAATCGGTTCATGATCTCAATAAAAAAAAACCAATTTCAGTCTTTAATGCTTAGATACGATCGGTTTGCAGAGGATCCTAGAGATAACGTGATAAATGAGGGGTTACAACAAATGGGATTACTAAAAAGTCTTTTTATGTGTGATTGTGGTAATCAAATGAATTGTGAACCTTGTTCAAACTACCGTGATGATGTTGTCTTTCGATATTATATACTGTCGAAGGAAGAAGTCTGCTAGAAAAAACCTGGAAGCATTGGACAGCTGTTTTGTCCTAGTGTTCTCATGTGAGATCGAAGATCCTGAGTTCGAGTCATGAGTGTTGGATCGTGGATGTGCACTGATGAGTAGTTCTTTACCAGGACAAAACTGTCTTACAGTGCTTTCAGGTTTTCAATGGTGGTCTAGCTTAGATCGACTCGATCTATTTTATCCTTTATAATTGACGATCGGTCTACAGCTGGCTTAAGTACTAATACCTATACCACACATCATTAATTGACATTAAGTGACTGACGGACCTAAACATTAAATTTGTTCGAAATAACAAACGAAAAACTGGTTGGTTAACATGCTTTGATCAACAGTAGCAATAAGATCAAACGTATCAATTCATCAAGCACTCATCTATTGTCTGATCATGACTTATTTCAAAGAAACCTAAAACAAACTATCAGCAATTTGAACACTGGATTATATGTACTAAAAAGTGTAAGTTTTATGAAAAGCATCGGACTGAATTCCACGCAAAGTCTCCATTTAAACTCATAGTTGTGTGAATATGAACATTTATATTAATCCTGACTAATATGTACAATACATATTATCTGTAAGGTGGTCGACAGAGTTCGATGGCGAATGCTGATAGACGGCCGATGCTCGTCCACGAAGGGTGACAGGCGTGAGTAAGTAAGTAAGTTGAAAAAGGTTTGTAGCGCAGTTGGATGATTTAGGTGAAGCTTCGCTCTCTAAGCTGGATGATCTATTCATGGATCGTTCATTGATCTTCTGAACAACATCATCACTACAAACTTTAGATCGGAGTAAAGTGTTCGAATTTCTCCTCATATGATCCACAATATATCCCATGGATGTCGAACTTGATGGTCACAAATTTAAGATTTCTAAAAGTAATTTTTTTCAAAAATTCCTTTATTATTTAATCATAAATCATTTACTTGTTTAGTGGCCTTAAAGTATCAACTTCTAATGATCAGTATTATGTCACTGTGTTAAATGACATTAAAGACAAGAGGAAAATATCTTTAAGAGGAGAAAAAAACTGACATTTGTTTTCATTAATTAGTAGAGATTAATTCATGATTTCGTTTAGTTTTATGAATAATTTTTGGTACTTTTGAATCCACACATACCAGTTCGAAATGGCATGGGTTCGAATCCTAACTCCACTACAAGCTTTTGACTAGGACCGAGTCCTATGGAGAATGTTGATGGACGACATATGCTTCTCCATAAGAGATAACAGATGTAAGTAAGTAAGTACTTTCCTTAAAATTGAAAAATGCCAAAAAGATATAAGCTAAGGATGATAGGAGACGATTTGGATAAGTGTTTGATT